GGATGGTCATTCACTCATCGGGTTCATTCAGCAATGGATTCGGATGCGCTATGGGAGGGGACCATATCTATTACCGACGCCACCCTTCCTTGCGTTGATAACTTATATTAGTCAAGTTCACAAAACATCACTTGACAAACACATATTTTCCAAGCATCGCAAAGGTGCTGCACCGGCTCCTGCTGGGTGGACGACAGCGGGCTCATGTCGGCCGAATGCAGGAGTATATGGAAAACCTATCAAATTTAATATTATAGAAAACCCCAAAGGAGAGAACCCCACGACAACATTCCAATCCCTAGCGGAACATCGCCAAAACTACCATCTCACGCCGGCCCCACAGTCGACAGCACTTGCCCGCGCGCTCCTCCGGACCACGAGTACCACTAACGCACATGTATACGTCTTCCTGTTCCCACAGCTGCTAGGCGAGTGATGGAAGAGATTAGTGGATTCGGGAATAGTGGGGTGGTGGGTCTTTTTCACCAACAATTACTCGACTTTTTCGAATGATACCACCAATAGCTGCTGCGGTTCACACATTTTAGTGCTGGGTAAATAATTTACAAAAAATTGAGAAGCCCCATAGATACACCCCACCCACCAGCGGCCTATGCTGCAGATATGAATATATTGTTTCAATGCGAGTGCAAAACAGTAATTACACCCCCCTCCTTTCACCCCCTTCTACTCCTGTTCTTGTGATCGTACCTCAGCTGCATCATTCCCCTCCTCTCTCTCTTTATGCATCCTAGTCATTTCTTCGAGCGTACCCACGGCCGCCTTCTCCAGAATTGCCTTCTCCAGGAGCCCCCTGTCCTTCCACTTGTACGCCATAACTATTTCGAGATGCCTCTTCCAAGCATTGCGCTTCCTCTGAAGCCTTGCAGCCTTCTTTGCCTCCTTCACCTGCTTCTGCTTCACCTTCAGGAAGGTAGTCATCTTATCCTTGACCATAGCCCTCACCCCATTACCGTGGCGGTCCTTGACTGCAACAAACGAGTCTTCCTGCTGCCAACAACAATCTCTATGTTTCGGCTTGTACGAGCTTTCACACCAAGCGCCTAGAGATCATCCTACCTGCTCTTTCCCGTGTCTCAGTACCTCAATTTTCAGTGGCTCTTGGGAACAGCATTCCGAATGGTCTGCGGAAGACTGGGCTGGACCAGCTAGTCCAGTCGAAAGTCAGGTCTAGTCCAATGGTGGAAATTAGACCGACTGGATGGTCAGAATAATCGGAACTGACTTGGTCAGGACTGGTCCGACCAAGCCTGCCAAGAATAGAATACCGTAAGAACTGGAATAATTGGACGGTGTGCTGAGCGGTTAAAATAGGGTATGTTTCACCAAGGGATCAGCATGTCAATCACTCAATATAGGTTTCACTGACTCTTGGCATTTATTCATAGTGAAAATTGTCATCCTCTATACAGTCTGGAGCTTCATCATCATCATCCTCAACATTGAGATCTCCTATCTCAGATTCCCCTTTCCACCAATCTTTAAGCCCTTCTACAAGAGAATTGTTTGCTAACCCTTTAATAGATAATTCATATCCTCACTCTCATCAATGGGAACTGAGAGACCAACAGCACAAAAAGAATGGTGAACCACCTCTGCTCTTTCCGAGGAAAACCTCTCCCAAGCCTCTCCAACCACACAGGTAACCACAACTCTTCGACGGCCAATCATGCTTCCTGTAAGTCTTCCTCCTTCCCTGACTATCCTCTCTTCCTCATCTTCTATTTCTCCCGAATGGTGATCCATCGCTTTCTATTTGGTATTCATTATAGCTAAGCCTCAGTCCTCCTCTCCCGTAATAATATGAATAGAACTAACTCTTAATAGGTCCTTGAACAGTTGCTCCCTTCCCCATCCCTCGAAAGAAAATTAATGGCTTCACTCGTGGAATACCATCAGCGAAGACGGTAAGTTGGACGATTCCTTATCTTTTATCCCATCCTGACTTACTTGACTGAAGTCAGATAGTTTTGTCGCAAATTTGATTGTAGGTTCGTCCCTCCAGGTATTCAAATAGAATAGGCGTTTGGTCCATATTACAAATATTTTGTAATTGGTATTGTCCTACACTAACTGAAGTGCCCGGCTCTGTTTCTCTGAGGTATATCAAATCATTGGGACGGAGTTGTGAGTTTCAGCAGTTAAATATTAACCAGTTAATTATTGCTCCCTTAAGGTCAGCTGGCAGCTTACTTGCTTTGTTGGTTACAAAACGAAGACTAATCTGATGCCAGCTAAGGTATCCTCTGAACCACCCATTTGAAACTTGAAAGGTAAAGTCTTGTTTGATTTCTTTCTGGATAGTATTTTGAAAACAGCTCTTCACTGACTCTCTTAAACCACCCTCATCATACAGGTCGGCCAAGTGCCCTCCGCTCCTGGAACTTCTCAAACAGATCCTTTTCCATTGCAGGCCAACTCCTGCCTCTTCCCCCTCCAGTAGCTCTTCACTGACTACCATTCAGAAATACCACCTTTCGCTCTGTTTACTCTTTCCTCCAACGCGAAAGGTTTGCCGCTGGAACCTTAAACTGTTGAGCAACCTCCTTGCGAGTAAGTATGTATTCCTTGGTTGGGCTGCAATGGATCTTAACCTCCTCCCAGTATGATAAAATACGCAGCTTATAACTAACTGTATATGACCAGTAGGAGTTTTCGGTAAGCTTCTTCAACTTATGAAGCAGTTTGGTAAGTGGTTTTCACTTTGGTCCCCTTTTCTTCTTTATGCCAGCATAAAATCGCTCTGCTGGAAGCGGTGGGAGGCTAGGCTGAACTCCAATTCAACCGCCAGGTTGGGAAGGCATTTTTGAACTATTAAACATGTTTGTCTTTTTTGCTCACTTTGTATATTATTGTAATGAAAAGAAATGTTCTCTTGTAAAAGGTTGTCTTTCTGGAATATTGTTTGTTTACATTTTTATTTCCTACTTGACATGATCACTCCGGGTTGCAATATTCTACATGTGAGGTTGGAGGTTTCTGATTTCTGTCTTACTTTTGGTTTTAAAAATCATCTCTGAGACACTAATTTCCACTTCACTGGGGTTTGTACCTTATTTTAACTAGCTAGCACACCATCCAATTATTCCAGTTCTTATGGTATCCATGGCCCTTTAACCCGATTCCACTTTTCACTATTTTTATTACCTTATATTATATTCAAATAAAGATTTTCTTAATTAAACTCCTTGTTTCCATGGATTATGCTAAATATTCTTGGGAGAATTGGAGTAGAGATAATACTTTATATAGATTGGGGGCAGTGAAATAAATTCACAAGTATCAAATGCTTTCTGTGCGCTAAGTGAGTGATATTACATGACTATGCAATCTTCTATGAAGACTGGTCTAGGACCACGCCCGGACCAGCTCGGACCACCTAAGTTAGTCAGGTCCAGTCATTGACATCACCAGGACTGGCCAGCCTGGTCTTGCCTCCAATACTTGACCAGTCGGACTATTCGGAACCCTGCTTGGGAATAACCCAGCATTTGATGAGGTCCGTCAGAGCGCATGAATCAAGTATAATGTGCAAGTCGCGTTTAACGGGTAGAAGTATTATGTGCAGAAGACTAAAACTATAATTGCGGAGGTGTTGCATTGTGTATGTGCTTGAATTGGGGTATCCAGTTCACTGTCGAAGGGGGTTGTGCCAAAGATGTCTATTGTTAGGTTAATCTGGGTTCTTTGTGTTGGCTCAGTGGTCAATACCACCATGGAAGATGACATTTAAGCATGCTACTCAAGATCTTGGTGGCCTTTTTTTTGATGACTCATCCATGAGTCACTGCAGATAGCTGGGGCGCTCATAGTGGCGTGAGAAGCAGCAGTAGTCTTTGTAGTTAGTGTTGGCTGTGGACCAGAGGAGAACAGGGGGCATTGTTCTTGGTTCTTGTACAGGGCGATTACAGCACGGGGCTCGTTTTGGATAGGGGGGTTGGTGAAGCCACCGGTATTCTTGATCGCGGGGGATTGGAAGGCATTGCCAACGTCCTTGGTGTAGTCCTATAGGATGGTAGAGTAGGCATCTGCGACGGCCATGCAGCCCATTCGCCTGCTATTTCGATGACCAAAAGTACCCCCGCCCAGATTTAGGTGCTACCTGAGGCGCTCAATGGTTTGGCTGCGGAAAAATGACTTCCCTAGCATGAGGATCCTGTTTGTAGCTACGATCAGATCATAGAGTTTTCTCGGCAGAGCCTTATCCTTCTCCATCCGGGTACCTGGCATGTAGTATAGGTGTTTGAACTCGGTATTCAGCACTCGCAGAATAAACCGAGTAACATCCAAGAGCCCCGACAACTGCCTGCAAAATACTCGAGCACTCCTCTCCCGCGTGGCCTGCAGTGCCTTCCCACCCAGGCCAGGTGGCAGTTTTCCTGTTCAATCCAAAAGCTCATCCTTCCCTCTCTCCTCTTCTGCTTCCATCATACTCTGCCACGCAAATACCTGAGTGCCCCTACCCCCCACATCAAGCACATTCTTAACATCCTGCTTCCCACTATCCCGGCCAAGCACCCAATCGCCGCCCAACAATTTCCACAGCTCGGTTAACGAACTCAGGCAAAGCGCGTACAGCCCTGGCATTTGTGTAGTGAAAAACACCGCAGAATTGATACCCGACCTTTAAATGTTAGTCCAGCTCGAGGGAATACGCAGCACGCGCTCACTCTACTTCTTCAAGTGGATAGATCAGAATTGGAGGTGTGGGTCACCGGGAGTTCTATGCATCGAGCTTATTAAATTTATATGTAAGGTGGCGGCCTCAGCCACCAGAGACTCTGTCCCGTCCCTTACCAAGTGTGGAAGTCGGATGCAAGACGTCACGAAACTAACCAACTTCAGTGTTGGAACCATCCCTTTGATGTCAACACTGGGAGGCTTAGAATAATGGGAGGTTTTGCTACGATGGTCAAAGTTTGAACTGTCCTTATCACCACAGTCATAGCACTAACCTGTCTGAATGTGCAATAGTGCTCAGTAGCCACATACAAAAAACGCCACAAAACACTTTTCCCGTGGTGACAAATCCCCAGTTCCCAGATATAGGTATCCCCTGACTTAATGCATACCCGCGTACTGTTAATTCTGAGCAAACTCGACCCACTGTTATGCTTCTTAAGGTAGCTACTAGTTCTCTTAAGGCCCAACCCTGTAATGAGTATGCTTGTCAGGGGATAATAACTGCCATACAGAGAATCGTGGCGGGTCAAGTTTACCCTGAATTTATGGTACTGTACAACTTAAATGCACCGAACAAATTTCTCCAGCTTCCAGACTGCTTAACGAAACCACTCCGCCACATCCCATTCTGCACTACAGTAGTCACATGCCCCTGAAAACCCCCATTGATATCCTCCCACCTCCCTTAAACCTCCCCGTGACAGGTACCGCAGGTACTAGAACCGTTAGTTGTAAGCTATAGATCTCCAACGGCTTCTCGGGCTATACCGACAGTTACTGGAGACACACCCAATTTATTGATCGGCCACATTTCCACGGTTGATGATCTTCCTCTTTGCAAGGATACGAAGGTTCTCGAGGTCCAGAGTAACGCACCCCCCAGGGTCCAACCCAGGTGGACAGCTCCCAGCAAAGAATTCGTCAAAAGTAATGGATGGATTCTCAACCGGATTCACGGCCGCGGGAAGGATTTCCTACAGATGAAATTGACTTATTAGTAATAAAATCAGAAGCAGTGTTCCCAAGCGTCCAGTCCTTCCGTCCTTGGCTTCGGACGGGACGGACGCCTATCCTGTGGTCCGTCCTAACCACTACCCGGACGGCCGGCCGGGCCCTATAGGTGTCTCACCTGCAAATGGCCCTGCGGATGAGAGCCGGGCTCTACAGATGACGGCCGGGCCCTACAGATGACGGTCGGGCTCTGCGAATGACGGCCGGTCCCCGATGAGGACGGCCGGAAGATGCCATTTGTATTAAGACTCCCGGGCCCGGGCGTCAACCCTTCGAACGGCGGTCTTTATCAAAGACGGACGCCATGCCCGGCCGTCCTTGCCCACGCTGCCCGGAACGCCCGGGACTGCAAGCCCGCCAGGGCCCTGTAGGGCGCCCGGGACCGTTGGGAACACTAATCAGAAGTGTCAGGATATAGAAGAGCCTTACATAAGTTTCACTGGAGGTTTCATAGGAGTTATCGTCGGTTGGCCTAGCCCGTTTGATCCACATACGTGATCCGATACCGTTCCGCTGCCTATAAAACTTCACCTGGATGACTACCCGCACCTGACCGCCGGATCCTGCCAGCCAGAGAGAAGCATCACGATCCAGTTGTTCCGCGGGTTCGGACCATCCACTCTCAAGTACCACAGAGGGGTACGGCGCTTCCTTGGTCCAATCGGGGCCGAGAAGCGGAATAATGGTTAGGTCAGCCTCCTTTGTGCATTGGTTATATTCTCCAATAAAGTTTTTATATTCTAGGGAATGTGATTAGCTAAATTTTAATTTTATAACCAGACACCATTGGTAACAAACCAGGTGAGGCACAGATACCAATTTTTCGTACCCAGACTGGAGGTATTACCCCTTTTACCAAGGCGTCGGAGATCTCATCAATAATCCATTGCCCCGGGCACTCACGCAAGGCAGAAGGCATGACGACTTTAAGGTATTTGTCTCCCGCAAACCAATGGAGACTATAGCGGCAACTTAGTCAGGTGGAAAAAGAATTACATGAAGGAGGAAGGTTACCGGAAAGCATACTGCTCGAGGCAGTTTGTAGGATGTCGTAAGCCTTGGATGACGTGGTCATAGTCAACCTGCTCCACATTGTGGAAGGTTAGCAAGTCAAGATTACGCGTCTTAATAGCGTCTTTGATTTCTTTGAAGATTTTTGCGGACATGCTGGTACAATCAAAGATCAGATCTCCGAAGTGAGCTAGAGAGAGAAAGTGCGGTAGGTGAGAGTTGTAGGGGTGGGTCAGAGTGGGAGAGCGGTGGTTGAGGATGGGAGAGTGGTGGATAAGAGTTTTTCGGGATGTGGCTACGTCGTAGGTACTCAAGGAAGTTCCGGGGTCAGCTGATGCCACAGACCCTAATCAACCACTGCTGCGGCAACAAACGCAGATGGGTGACAACATGATCGACCACCATCAGATCGTCCGTGGCGCCCTTGCCCTGCAGATGGCAGGCCCAGGGGAAAATTGGAGCGGGTATGGCAATATTTCGCAAGCCGCTTTATCAGGACACAATCGGAACACTCCGTTGTGGTACTGCCAAGAATACCACAAATGCTCTACTATCAACAAATGTCCAGCCTGCCTGAAATGGTTGATGACGCACCAGAACCTGACTACTGGTATCAGTGCTGGAAGCCCCAACATGTAACACAGAAGCAGTACCATACAATCATGCCGGCAATGACTACTGTGGCAGGTAGTGGGCGACGCCCGCACTCTCCCCCAGGGCTAGGCCAACAAGCCTGTACAATGCATCAGTATGCATTTGCTAACATAATGGGCAGGCCCTGGTAAAATCTACTTCATCAACGAGGTCTCTGATAGCTGGGAGGTTGTATTGAGCGGTGATCTTTATTCATATTAGTGTTCCCCTGCTGGAGGGACTGAGCTCGAGTGCTGGCAAGAAGGCACCAGCAAGGTCTAATCTTGCTCTTTTAAGTATGAAGGGGCATGGGTCACACTAGTCAACACTGCGGGATTCGATAATGCTATTAGAAGCAATACCGGGATCCTTCGAGAGATTGCCGATTGGACCTTAGTGACATACGGGGAGAAGCAACTCCTCTTGAGTATCATCTATCTCTATCCCATCACCTATTCTCGCATGGAAGGTTCTGTCCTGAAGAACCTTAGGATGTTCCAGAGCTTTTACGGTCAGAAATTCCTGAAGAACATATTTCTCACAAAAACGCAGTGGTCCAGTGCCGATCCAGCAAATGGGGAGGTTTGCAAAAATAGCCTCCTCAATGGTGATTTTTGGGGCGGGCTTATTGATAAGGGGCCACTCTTCTGAGATCCTATGGTACTAGAGAATGCGGATTGGAGCTTATCCCCTAATTGATGCCAAACAAACAGGAGCCCCACGATCTCCAGGTTCAGATTTTAAACCAGCATGTGGCTCTGCATGAGACCGACGCAGGGGGATTTGTTATCGGGGCGCCCGCAGGAGGAAACTCAGAGGGGAGATGGGGAGCGTAAAGGGATGTTTTAAGTGAGTTATGCAGGAAAAGACCCTGTTGGTGGGGAAGGAAAAACCCCAGAAGAACTCGGAAAGGGTGTAAAGAAGTTGCTACGGGCAATGCTACCTTCCACAGCACCATGTGGGACGTAACGGGGGCACGCCTGGGCATTTGATCCTTTAGAGCAACGATGGGCCTGGGTTTATATTCCTAGGGAACTTGAGTTGTTTTTTATGGCGAAGTGTTCTTATTCGTCTGGAGCCCTGCTTGGCGCACTACCATAAAAACTTCCCTCACAGAGTTATTATTATGTTCATAATAGTGGCTTTTTTTCATTTTTTTTCAGTGTGCTCATATATAGAATGCATGAGAGGAGAGCTTTAGATCCAAATTGATAGCAAACACAATTAGAACCTAATAATATTATCATAGTAAATATAAAAAGCCCGACAAAGCTGGAAATCGAATACCTGCACATTTTTGTCCTGACTCCATTCTGCCAAGGTGTCACCCGTTGAGTCACTTTGGTACTGTATCTGGCCGACACGAACTATAGTAGTATTGCACACAACAGAGGCATAAAAGCTCAAGGAGAGGGAGTTGCAGGAGAAAGGGGAGAGCTGCGATAGGGTAGTCATTGCTGTCGCTACTAAAGACCTTGGAATTCCCTCCTGTGGAAAACAGGCAAAAAATGCCGCTGGCCAGCCCCTCCGAGAGACATAAAAAACAAAAATGGAAACACCAAGCCTTACCAGAAGAGACGACTCCAACGACATACAGTAGCACGTTGTTCAATTGTTCGGGTTCTTACACTATTGTTTAGATATATCGTGTGATTTCTCATGGCTGTCCTTGCTGTGACATGTTCTAGTTATGGGAGTTGCAATACAAAGCCTGCAGATCGAATGAATATCATGGATACGTAAGATTTAGCATATATGGGTGTGCAAGGGAGTTAGGTTGGCTGGAGGAATTACTGAAGTTAACCAAGATGCACGATAGCTTCATAGGAGAGTATGGTATGATAATAGGACCTACTGATAGACCTATGTTTAGGGGTCATGGGGTTTTATGGCTAGGACTGATTTTCAGAATACCGAAGAAAAATAAGGGCCTGTTCGGAGTGCCATCATAAAAAAATATAACCAACCTCACTACTCGAATAGGAGGGGCAAGCAACATAACTATCGGAATCACTATAATAGTAGACAATCCGGGCCCCAGATCGAGACCACCCTTACGAAAAGCAGGATGATCCTGGTTTTTCGTTTGACAGCCTGTCTATTAAAGTATAATAACTACTTTGATAATTCCACAAAGATGGACAAATGGGCCTTGAGAGTGGCTACTACCCTTATGACTATGCTTCCTTCCATGATTGCATTTAGTCCTCTAAAGACCCCAGATATCCAGACATTCTACCACCGTGATGTAGTGGTGAAAGAAGTAGCTCTGGGTTTGAGTACCGTAAGAACTGTAATAATTGAGCTTCACATCTGAATGTTCAGGATTCCCCTCTTAGGATAAGGGGGGAATCACCCCCCCCCCCAAAAAAAAAATTTCGGCCTGTAGCCAGCCCTCTGCTAAGATAAAAAGGAAAATATACACTCGTGTCCGTAACGTTCTCCCAACGCCCGATATATCGCGAAGTCTTGGCAGCCGTAAACTGGGGGATTGTAGAAGCTGTTTGCGGGGAAAAAAAGGTTTTGGATATCCTCTATGGAACCTGCCATTACTAGATTAAAAAAGATTTCTTGAAAAAGAGTTGTTCCTTTCTTGCTATCTGGGCCTGTATTGATGGGGGTACCGGGCGTGTTACCAGAACTTTGCAGATGCGAGTGTACTCGTAACCCGGTTAAGAGAAATATGTCTTAGCTTAGGACGTCTGCGTTTCCTCTTTTGACGGGGACGGGGGAAAATACCAGCAAAACAAAACAACACGTTACTGAAAGGTATTTAATTCGACATCCTGAGACATATATCCCTTAATACGGGTATGGGTTCGCTGACATAGCTTGCCGTCATCTAGGAATTTTGCGCATGGCCTTATGACACGACTCCCTACTATATGGTCACTAGGGAGTAAACATCAGCAACAGGATACACAGGGTTCGAAGTCTCTGTGCTCAGTATCGACCTGGAATTTAGGAACATTTACCGCCTGGAAAAAGGAACTAATAGAGCCTAGAACTTAGAGGAGGAAAGCCCATAGAACGAAGCTTGTCCCCGACAAGTGATAGAAATACTGGAGACCAGTAAACCTCGGGGGATGGAGTTAGCGGAGGTTTCACTGTAAGAGCTTTTCGTTGTCCCCAGCGTCCTAGGATCACAACCAACAGGGAGTGGCATACCGTAATCGTGCCAGGGTTCCCGCCACTTTGAGGAAGGCTAAGTGACCTTCTAAGTGGCGGGGAACCTTGGCACAGCTACTTGGGGGTGGTTGTTGGCTAAAAATAGTGGTCTAATATAGTCTACACACCTAACGTCCCTTCATCTGCTATCGGTTAGGGCCCCGATTAGGTAAGCGCTATACCAAGGAGGGGAAGGGTAAAGGTTCTCCAATGAAGGGGGATTGATCTATGATAAGAAAAGGGGAATAGCAAGCGATACCGAGATATCGTTCTGTGGTGGGTTAGGCTCTTAGTGATAATTTGGGACCTGGTATTCCTCTGCGTCCGGTTGTTCCTGTGGGTCGAGAGCCAGGGTAAGCGGGGTGGAGAGGTTAATGTTTGTACTACTCTTGGGATTATGGTGAATCAGTAGTCTACCGTAAGCCGAGCGGTTGCCATCAGTGCACGTCCTCCACAAGCTTTTCAAGTTAGAGGCTCCGGCTCCATGTATTGCGGGCTGCATGTTGTCAATTGGTATTATAAAATTCCGAGGGGTACACCACATTCCTTCAAACACATACCAAGCAGATTACAGTGTTTTACTTTTCTGGCAGATCCTGTGCTGTACACTGATATAAATTTAGAAAGTTTATTCTACCTGTTTCTGGGCACTCTAGAGGATGCTATCAACGAGAATATATCTTTCCCTTTCACCCTTTCTATCATTCGTCCCCAAAGGCCCAATTCAACCTCAAGTACTGTCCCCAAGTAAAACAATATAATCAGAAGCACACTCCGCTCTGCACGCCCACAGGATTTAAGATGTCAAAGCTTTTTACCCTTTCTTATCCTTCCTAGCCTTGTACCTACCAAATTAAATCATTTTCTACCTGTGATTTGTTTGCATGAAAAGCTTTTTCATGTCACCTCATGGGTGGAGCTGTAGCCAAGTTTGCCGGATAACCAGATTCTGTAACGTGTTCACACCGGAGTGCTAGTCACGCTTCTGGGTACAATGTGAGTGGCGCACAAGTTGATCTACAACCCATAGGCGTACTGCGCTAAGGGAGGCTCCATGTAATGGGCAGGGTCTGAGGGTTGGGTAGCCCAAGAAGGCACGTCATGGTCAGAACAGGCAGGAGTTCGGAGATGAGGTCTTGGTACCGGTGTACAACCAATGTAAGTTGTATGAGGGTCAGGTGTCAGGGGTTCAGGGTCAGGGTTCGAGGGTTCAGGAGGACGCGAAGTAAAAGAGAGGTGTAATTCCTAGCTACAGGTATCTGAAGGAGCTTACCAGATTATGTAAAGAATATAAAATATAAGGGGGCACACCCCCTTATATAAAGAAAAATCCTTCCTAATCACTAATACAAAATAAAACCCTTGGCATCACACACAGCCACAGGACTTCCTCCATGGTCCACCAAGTTCCATTGCACAGCCATATGTCACAATCACAATACAAAGGAAAACATTCACA